CAAGCAAATCAGGGAAGTGTAGACAATGAGGAAAGCAACACAGAATTAAGAGAAGATATAAATGAATGGATTAAACTTCAGGAAGAAGACAATACTCTCAAAAATATACTGAAAAACACCAATACAAGTAACATGAATGCCAGGGGATCTAAGTACACTAAAGAAAATAATGTTTTAGTCAGGAAATATATTGATGACAAGAATAATGAAAAGACTCAGATAGTGGTGGCACAAACTATGAGAACAAAGATATTACAACAAGCACATGACAGTCCACTGGGGGCACACATGGCAGAAAAAACTACATTTGAGAGAATAGCTGAAGATTACTACTGGCCTTTAATGAAGGAAGACATAAAGAAACACATACAAAAATGCACCAAATGCATAAGACTCAATCCTATTGATGGGAAACATAATGCACCTATACAACAGACAGATAGAGTTACAAGACCATTCCAAAACATAGCAGTGGACATAGTTGGACCTATGGAACACCCTACTTCCCAGGGCCACAAGTTCATATTAACTATAGTGGATTGGGCAACCAGATGGCCATGGAGCAATACCACTTAGAGAGATTACAGCTGTGGCTATCTGTGATGCTGTGATGAGTGTATGTACAAGATTTGGTTTTCCTGATACAATTTTATCAGACAATGGAACACAGTTTAAGGCAAAATTGACAAAGGCATTCACAAGCTTCTTGAACATTGCACAAGTACATAGTACCATATACCATCCACAAGCAAATGGGATTAATGAGAGATGGAATAAAACACTGAAGACTATGTTAAAAAAGGTAACAGAGGATCACCCAGGTGAATGGCACAAGTATTTACCTCAAGTACTATTCGTATACGGAGAGACTAAACATGAGTCAACAGGTTTTTCTCCTTTTGAACTGATATATGGGGTAAAGCCAAGAGGCCCATTAACTTTATTGAAACACAAATTATTAAATAAACACGAAGAGGAATTTGATCCTCATGAACTAGTAAACCAGACTAGAGAGAGATTAGTTTATGGTGTCCATACAGCCCAAGAGAATGCACAAGTAGCCTAGCCAGTGAAAGACACAGAAATATAAAAAAAAAGCATAGATATTTAAGAACTTTTGAAAGAGGAGATTTAGCTTTTGTCAAACTGCCAGACAGCAAAAAACATAGATGTATTTCAAGGACCTTTTGAAGTAATCAAGAAACTATCTTATGTAAATTATGAAATAAACATAAAGGGAAATAACACTCCTATACACATAGACAGAATGAAGAAATTATATGTAGAGCCAGAGAAACTGATAGAAGAGGAACTTATGGCCTGTACTATAATAAGTGAAAGCTGTAATACACAAGAAATTAAGACTAATCATATCCCAGTGAATGAGAAAAACATAATAGACAAAATAATAAATGAGTACAAAGATGTGATTACAACAGAAATGGGTTTTACTGAAACAATTCAACACAAAATAGAATTAACTGATTATAGTGCTATGAAAGGGAAGCATTACCAAGTACCAGTTGCTTATAGAGAAGCTGTTGAAGCAGAACTGGATTTTCTACTTGAGTCTGGGCAAATAGAAAGAACAGAATCAGCATACTCATCACCCATGGTGATAGTAAGAAAAAAGAACAACAAAGTAAGGATATGTTGTGACTATCGAGAGTTGAATAAAAGGACTAAGATAGATGCTGAACCCATGAATGATCCTAAAGACATTTTGGAAACTATCAGTAAATCCTCAATTTTCACCACTTGTGATTTGAACAGAGGCTTCTGGCAAATAGGACTGGAAAAGGGGTCAAGACAATACACAGCCTTTACATCTAGCAAAGGTCTATGTCAATTGAAGGTGATGCCATTCGGACTTGTGAACAGTACCGCCACGTTCCGAAAATTCATGAATAAAATAACAGAGGGAATGAAAAACCTGGTCTTCTTTGTTGATGATATATGCATACATAATAACACATGGGCAGAACACATAGAAACACTAAAAGAACTACTAGAAAGACTTAGAAAACATGGGGTTACCATAGCACCAGAGAAACTGCATGTGGGAGTAGATACAGTAGAATTCCTAGGATTTAAGGTTGGAAATAAAGAAATTAGACCTACTGAAGGAAATAAGGACAAAATATTAAATATCAAAACCCCTACTACAAAGAAAGAAGTGAAAGCATTGTTGGGACTATGCAATTTTTATAATATGTTGTGGATAAATATGCTGAACTTACTACTCCTTTAAGATTTTACTTTCAAGCTTTAATATATAACATCAGTTATCATGCATATAGAACCTGGTTTAGTGGATGTAACAATATAATATTTAACCACTTTAGTTGTATCACCAACCTCAGCAGTTTAAACAGAATTTATTTCATTGATTGGCTCTACACATTCCTTTTTGGCTAACAAAACCTGTTACTTTTTATGTTGTGTGCATTGGTACTTAAGCATCAGTGATATAGGGACTACTAACATACATTATTTTACATGTTATTGACTTAAGGGGAATTTGTAAGTTAGAAAACCATTTAAAGTAAAGCATGGAGTTTGTTATCATAATGTGTTAACAAATGTTTAGTTTGTTATTGGACCTTGTATTTTGTTAACTGATGTTCATGAACATAACAGTTGTGTATTTTTTGCACTTTATATGGTAATGCTAATGGATTCTATTGTTGTTTAAAGTTGTATTCAATTAACAGAGCTTAACTATGTGTTTGGAATTTTGACTTGGTAAATATTGCTTTCATAAGGAAAATGGATTTGTCTAATAACATTATGTCAAGAAAAGCTAACCTGTAAATGGGCTGCACAATACACTAGCTGAATTTTTTATCAAGACAGATTGAAGATGAAAAAACAAACATGGAACTGACTAAAGAAGATAATGACCTGAGACATATCAGCCAATCCTTATAAGGAAATTTTGAATAACGTAGTAAGTGATGTGTACTTCCAGAGAACATTAACATTTTACAAATGTGAGCAAGATAGGAATAAGTCATAATATGACTCGTATAAATATGTTTTACCATTATTTTAATTTAGAAATGAAAATGAACATACATTTTGTTGTATTTTTATGATTTGTATGTATACTGTATATCTTGTTAAGTAATGAACATGATTATGGCAGTATGACCTGACAGATGTGGTGATTTACATATGTTATGATGAGGAGTTTACCTCAGCCAGTGAAGTAGGGAAATCAAGGATATGATTTACCCATGGGAGCTATTGCATAGCTATGATTTTGTTCTACTAAGAGAGAGTTTTCCTAAGTAGATTTATTTTGAGATACACTAAGAGGTAATATTCCTTAGTGAGTTTTAATGATTTCTTTTTTTGTTACACTAAGAGGAGATGTTCCTTAGTTAGAGTCATGTGTTCTTACTAAACTAAGAAGGTTTACCTAAGTTACAATTTTTCTTAATGGCGATACTTATAAGATAAGTGACGCTTTACATTTTGCCATGTATTTTATGAATATCATTGTTTTAATTTAAAAAGTGTACATATAAAATAATTTAGGATGTTCATTAGCAAGTTTCTTTTTCAACATGATTTTCATTTCACTGTTACATGTATAATGAAGATTTTATAGTGAATGTGATCTATATAACAAAAAAAAAATTAATAAATTATTTTTTTTTAAACGGGAGAAAGGGCGTATAACAGTGAAATATTGGTGGATTGTATCTTGGGAGTGTGTGTGTTGTAATAAGGCGAGATTGCATCAGGGAGACAATGGCTGTGCGCATGCGCGAAAGGAACAGGAGAAAAAGGAGGCAAGAATATGGCGTAGCTTGTGTGAACATGCTGCCTGTGTGAAAACAAAATAAATATGAAAAATTGCAAAAGAAGGCTTGTCTTTTGATTCTGTATATGTAATGTAAAAGGTAGGAGAAAGGCCTGTGACAATTATATTGTGATATTTATAATTATTTTCAAATGTATCTTGATAGCATCTATTTTACAATGAAACACCATACGAACAGTCACATGTTTTTAAAATTAGAAAGCCACCATAAATAGGCCTATGTCCCACTTAGAGAATCCTATTCCATGACATAAAGGTGTACATATTTTTCTCAAATTAGAAAGCAACGAGGAATGTTCCACACTTAAGGAATGCGTGACTCCTGGCATTAAACAATTCTTGCCTCGTCCATACTACTACATAGACAGTAAAACACTGGAAGCATTTTGTAGGTAAGTATCAATCCTGACTGTTTATATAGATTTGATTATAATTTTAAAATATTATGACGGATGTAATATTATAAGTCAAATAGGCATGTTAGTAGACTAGCGTCTAGAGAAGTTAGAAAACTAGAATTACACAACAAATTTAACAAGAATGTCGAGCATGAAGTAAGCCACAATTTTTACAAATATTTTTGCCCTGGAAATAGTCATGATAATAACCATTAACGTTTAGATATATTTCAACTTTTAATTTTAAAAGTAAATACATATGTGTGAGCGGGTGAATGGATTATTTTGTATTATTTTATTTGTTGCGAATCTGGGAGTGCATGGTGGTCCAATGGGGAAAGGCCACGGGGTCCCCCTTCCGTCCGAAGCGGTCAGTATAAATTGACCGGTCGGACGATTTTCTTCCTTTTTGACCCGCGGCGAGATGTAGGTCGGGTCAGGTTTCTGTGTGGGCGCGTGGCGCACCTCACGCGTGGAGTGAGGTTGCTTGGGCAACTTGGCTGGGTGTTTTGTTAGATATGAATTGTTTTGTTTGATGTAAAAAGTTTGTTGTGTACGTATTGTTTTCTACGTAATGTGTTGTACGTAAGGTATTGTACGTAGTGGTTTTACGTAGTGTTTTGTTTGGTGTGGACTTTTGGATGTCGAGAATGGATGAAGGGAGGTTTCTGTGTGTCAGGGCCTGGACCATCCTAGACATCATAAGTCGGGCGCAACACCATCAAATGGTCAAACGTAATGTTTTGTTTCGTTGAGTTCTGTTTGTTTTGAATGTCTTGAGTGTTTTGTCTAGGTCTAGATTCTAGTTTTTTTATAATAACTTTTGGTTCCATATTTTGTTAAATAAATTTTATATTATTGTCAAAGCTTTTTGTTTTCATTATTTAGACTAAGGTTAGATTATTAACCAGTCTGGGTTTATCCGGGCTTGCACTGACCGGACAGTAGTTAGTTAGATAAGCCTAGAAGGGTAGATATTAGGTATCCCCCCTAGCAGGGCTTACATATGTATTGAAAAAAATGCTTTTTTATTATATATATAAATCTAAATACATAAATAAAATTAAAAAATAAAATATAAATAGATAGAGAATGAATTTAGTGGAAGAATTTAATGAATGAATTTAATGAATAAATGAATGAATGAACGAATGAAAGAATGAACGAATGAACGAATGCACGAATGAACGAATGAAAGAATGAACGAATGAACGAATGAACGAATGAACGAATGAACGAATGAACGAATGAACGAATGAACGAATGAACGAATGAACGAATGAACGAATGAAAGAATGAACGAATGAACGAATGAACCAATGAACGAATGAACGAATGGACGAATGAACCAATGAACGAATGAACGAATGAAAGAATGAACGAATGAACGAATGAACGAATGAGCGAATGTATATATATATATATATATATATATATATATATATATATATATATATATATATATATATATATATATATGTTTATACATATATACATATATAGCCTACTCTATATTTGTGTTTATTTAATTTTAACCACGTGCCCGTTTCACCCACGACGCTACTATTAGTGAATTGAATGACTACATCTATTGTGTAAACAAGATTGCATGGCGCTGTGACGATCATTCCATTGTACATTACCATGAGGAGATAATTACACGGGGAAAGTATGTCTGCACCAATGTGTCGAAAAAAGGTATGGCTATTCTCAATCTGTGGTAGGAGGCTCGGCCCAAGTTAGCCTATTCAAATAGACCCAATTTTGTGATACCAGCGGGTGGTAGACAACAACTAATTGCACAACTTTCTCAGCCTTCTTTAGACAGCGAGCTCACGCTGTAAGCCCGTGTTCATTCTCACTTTGTTATCATTGTATTTGTCAACCTAAAAAACAATCAACAAGGCTGTAGTTGCTTGATTTTTCTTGTTTTCTGTACTAGATACGTTGTTATCCCCAGCTATCGAGCCTCATCTTCCTGGGGGTTCGATCTCGGGAATTTTAAGTATAAGTATAAGAACCATGCAATACACATATACTAAACCCTGCACAAATATTAAAACCCACTTATATAAACACACTCCTAGAGGCATGTAGAACATGGAAAAAAATATATCAAATAACTTGATTTGTGGTTACCTTAAACCTATTCCAATTCTTTTTCCCACGATGTATGAAACATATATGGGCACTCCTTTGTTCTTCTTTAACTATAGGTACTTTCGGGTAGAAAAGCAAAACATTCTACTCGTCACAACTTCACATTACAACACATTACACCATATAACAACAAATGGTACAACATCAAAACACATGACATAACATCACATCACTTTACATCACACTACACACACCACACCACTGTACGCCAGAGCACACCACATCATACTACACCACATCACATCAAACCACTGTACACAACAGCACACCACATTATAGCACAACGCCACACTACATCACACCACACCAAATCACAAAACATCACACCACAACACATCAAACAACACCACACCACATCACACAACATCACACCACCCACATCACATCACTCAACAATGTACACCACAGCACACCACACTATATAGCACCACGCCCGTTACATCACACAACACTACATCACTCACGGCCACATCACACCACATCACGCAACATCACAAAACATCACACCACATCACACCACATCACACCACATCACGCAACATAACACCACGCAACAGCACATTACACCACAACAAAAACCGCACCACATCACACCACATCACACTACATCACTGTACACCACTGCACACCACATTATATAGCGACACACCACACTACATCACACCACACCACATCACATTGCACCACATCACACACCATACCACATCACACCGCATCACACCACATCACACCACATCACACCACATCACACCACATCACACCACATCACGCAACATAACACCACGCCACAGCACATTACACAACATCACACCACGCCACATCACACCACACCACACCGCACCACATCACACTACATCACTGTACACCACTGCACACCACATTATATAGCGACACCACATCACATCGCACCACATCCCACATCACACCACATCACACCACATCACACCACACCACGCCACATCACACCACATCACACCACATCACACCACATCACACCACATCACACCACATCACACCACATCACACCACATCACACCACATCACACCACATCACACAACATCACACAACATCACACCACATCACACCACATCACACCACATCACACCACATCACACCACATCACACCACATCACGCAACATAACACCACGCCACAGCACATTACACAACATCACACCACGCCACATCACACCACACCACACCGCACCACATCACACTACATCACTGTACACCACTGCACACCACATTATATAGCGACACCACATCACATCGCACCACATCCCACATCACACCACATCACACCACATCACACCACACCACGCCACATCACACCACATCACATCACACCACATCACACCACATCACACCACATCACACCACATCACATCACATCACATCACACCACATCACACCACATCACACCACATCACACCACATCACACCACATCACACAACATCACACAACATCACACCACATCACACCACATCACACCACATCACACCACATCACACCACATCACACCACATCACATCACATCACACAACATCACACCACATCACACCACATCACACCACATCACACCACATCACACCACATCACACCACATCACACCACATCACACAACATCACACAACATCACACCACATCACACCACATCACACAACATCACACCACATCACACCACATCACACCACATCACACCACATCACAATACATTAACCACACGATACCACATAACACAACTCTACATCACACCACATCACAACACACTACATCACACAACACCACACTATATCACATAACACGACATCAAACAACATCACACCACATCACAACAAACCACATCACATCACACAACACCACATCACACCACACTACATCACATCACACCACACTACATCACATCACACCACGCCAGATCACATTACTTCAAACCACATCACATCATACCATGTGACACCGCATTACATCACATCACACCACATGACACCACATCACACAACATCACAACACACCACATCCAATAACATAACATCACATAACATAACATTATCCCACATCACATAACATCAAATAACATCACACCTCTTCACACCACACCACATCAAACCTAATGACACCACACAGCATCACATCGTATCACAAGACACCATCTAACATCAAACCACACCACATAACACCACATACAACCATATTACACCACATACCACCACTCCAGGACAAGAACAAGCTAAAACTAAATAAACCGCGCTACATATCCCATACACCCATCTTTCATATACTTACTTTCTGTTCACATTATATCCTTAATAAGCAGTTTTTTGACATGTTTAAATAATTACACTATAATTTATCTTAGTTATCTAAACTTTTTATTGTTTAAACAATTTTTTTTTACTAATGTTTAAATACCTTTTATTGTGAACAGCTGTTAACGATTTGACTGCTTCACGATGCCTTATTGATAGGAAGAAGAAGGAAGAAGTTGAAAATGCGATAGACTATTGTTCATGGATCATCTACAGATATCCTTACAATCTCATAGAGGACGTGTGCCAGTAATAAAACTTAATATTATAGTTTAGATTAAACATAATGTGACTTGCTGTTTAAATGTTTAACCTAATGACGTATGCGTTAGACGTTGTATGGGCAAGAAAAACACATATACAGATAGGAATTATACTTCGTGGATAACATCAGAAAACAATATATTGCAATTCAAAACAATGTTTTAATAGGTTATAAAAAAATCCGTTAAGTAAATTCAGTTTATATATATATATTTTGTAACAGAAATTTAAAATTATTTAATATTTAAAATATATATGTTTTGGATCAATTGTCCTTAGATCAATAGACCTGATACCATTTGCACTAAAATCATTTGCCCTGTGATAATTAATTTGTAATGAGATCATTTGTCCTGAGATTATTTTTCAAGAGATTATTAGTAAAAAGAATAATTTATCATGCGATCATTCGTCCGTGAGATCATTTGCCTGTCATCATTTGTCTTGGGATGATTTGTCCTGAGATCATTCGTCCTAAGATCGTTTTCCATGAAAATTTGTAAACGGATCATTTGTCATAAGATATTATTTTTTTTGTTAATTTGGGATCCTTTGTAATGAGTTCTTTTATAAATTCAGCTTCTTCTAATTTAGTGTTTTTGAAATATTTATGTATGTTAGATCATCTGTCCTAATAATTTGTCTCGAGAAGATTTATTCTGAGATAATTTGTCCTGAGATTATTTATTCTGAGATAATTTGTCCTGAGTTCATTTTTTATATGATCATTTCTCCCGCAATCATCTGCGCTGAGATAATTTGTAATGACATTATTTGTTAAGAGATCGTTTTCCTTGAGATATTTTCAAATGAGATCATTTGTCCTGAGATTATTTGTCTTAGTATCGTTTGACATTAGATCATTTAAATTTTTGTCTTGGGATAATTTATCCTGAGATCAATATATTCGAATCATTAGTCCTGATATCATTTGTAAGGAGATTCGGGTCATTAGTCATGATATCATTTGTAAGGAGAGTGTTTTTCCTGAGAAAATGACCGTGTCTCCATTTCATATCTACAAATAGGCTTGGATCACTTATGCAGAGCTGTTATGAAACAAGGTTGACTGCTTTGTGTGGTAGAGCTGGAGGGGACTTCTACAGCAGTTTAATCTGGGAAGAGTTGGAGGGACGATTTTTCGCTTATGGCTGTAAATTGGAGGAGGAAAAACATAAAGGTCTAGATAAAGATAATTTAACGTTTCAAAATTTTTTAAAAGTTTTATAGAAATTTAAATAAGATTATTGAACATTTAAAACTTGTATTATGATTGGAAGTTACATTTTGATTTAAATTCACATTTTATTATTTAGTAAGTTGGAAAAAATGTAATCTACTTTCTGAATGCTTGGAGGATGAAATAGGCAACTTATTAAGTGAATTGTACTACAGCATCGACAATACAACACTCGCAGCCTTTTGTGAGTGAGTTGCAATTTCTTTCATCGGTTAAATTTACAAAGAATAAGTTGACGGATGTCAACATAAACATAAACATAAACATAAACATAAACATAAACATAAACATAAACATAAACATAAACATAAACATAAACATAAACATAAACATAAACATAAACATAAACATAAACATAAACATAAACATAAACATAAACATAAACATAAACATAAACATAAACATAAACATAAACATAAACATAAACATAACCATAAACATAAACATAAACATAAACATAAACATAAACATAAACATAAACATAAACATAAACATAAACATAAACATAAACATAAACATAAACATAAACATAAACATAAACATAAACATAAACATAAACATAAACATAAACATAAACATAAACATAAACATAAACATAAACATAAACATAAACATAAACATAAACATAAACATAAACATAAACATAAACATAAACATAAACATAAACATAAACATAAACATAAACATAAACATAAACATAAACATAAACATAAACATAAACATAAACATAAACATAAACATAAACATAAACATAAACATAAACATAAACATAAACATAAACATAAACATAAACATAAACATAAACATAAACATAAACATAAACATAAACATAAACATAAACATAAACATAAACATAAACATAAACATAAACATAAACATAAACATAAACATAAACATAAACATAAACATAAACATAAACATAAACATAAACATAAACATAAACATAAACATAAACATAAACATAAACATAAACATAAACATAAACATAAACATAAACATAAACATAAACATAAACATAAACATAAACATAAACATAAACATAAACATAAACATAAACATAAACATAAACATAAACATAAACATAAACATAAACATAAACATAAACATAAACATAAACATAAACATAAACATAAACATAAACATAAACATAAACATAAACATAAACATAAACATAAACATAAACATAAACATAAACATAAACATAAACATAAACATAAACATAAACATAAACATCATCATAAACATCAACATCAACATCAACATCAACGTCAACGTCAACGTCAACGTCAACGTAAACGTAAACGTAAACGTAAACGTAAACGTAAACGTTTATATATATATATATATATATATATATATATATATATATATATATATATATATATATATATATATATATATATATATATATATATATGTATGTATATATATATATATATATATAAGCCTATTTATAGTTACTTTTCAAACTATCCCTCATGACCAAAGTGAATTTAATACATATACCGATTGTGTGGCAAAACACAAATACTGTGACATTAGCGAGATTGTGGATTTCTATGACAAAGATGTAACAGCTGGAAACTATTTCTGCACCGATGAAGTGAAAAAAGGTATGGTTATTCATAATCAATGCAGCGTTTTTTTGTTAACTACTAGAATAAGATTATGGTGGCACTGTTCAAATTGACCCAACTCTGTGATACGTACTCATTTAGAATACCTTTTGAAAACCCCCTTAAAAGCAGCTTTCCGTGAAATCGAGTTCTTAATAGCGTTATCTCTACATGTCAAATCGTTTAAAAACGTTATTATCTGCCCCTTTACTAGATCGACCGACTCTACAATTTTTAACATTCGGCATGGATCAAAGCTCACCAGACTATTCGGATGATAACGTCTAACTAGTTAGCTCTTTTTCTTTTATTGAAATTATTAATGATCGAGTGATTCAATATTGTTATTTCATATTAGTTTCAAAACCGTTTAGTAATTTTTATAAACTAATAATTAAATAAAAAAATAGATAGACTTTTATTGCCATTAAGTTGGGTTGTTTTTTAAATGTTGGAAAAAAAATGAGTTACAAGATTTGCCACAAACAAACAAACAAACAAGCGAAAAATTAGACAAGCGTTGTGAATTAAATAAAAGCTTGTAAAGCTTGTAACAAAAATGACTTTTTAATGGTCTGTACTACATTTCATCCTTATTGCCTGATATTTTATCAAGAGATTTTTAAAATCTAAAATCTTGAACCCATGTTTTACATGAATAGCTGTTGACGCTCTGACAGCTTCACAATGCCTCATTGATGAGAACAAGAAGAATAAGGTTGAAAATGCGATTAGTATTTGTTCTACAACCTACACAACTGATGAAGCAAATGACAATTCAGAAATATGCAGGTAAAAAGTCGTAATACTATTGATATTTTGGTTGAGATAAACTGTTTGTTACCTACTGGGAAAACAGTGATGTATGCAACTTTTAATTAGAAGTGTCTTGGGAAATAAAAAACAAAATATAATATTTTGATTGTAATAATAAGACTTTATGAATAACAGCAATAAAATATAATTAAAGTTACTGCATTATTTTAATGAAAATGTTAAAGGTTTCTTTAGGTAGTAAGTTTCTATAGGAGTAAATGTTTTCGGTTGCATATGCTTTGGACTTTTGTAATTTAGAAGCATATAATAGGTGCAAATATATATATATATATATATATATATATATATATATATATATATATATATATATATACATATATATATATATATATATATATATATATATATATATATATATATATATATATATATATATATATATCTGCATTGATTATGAATAACCATACCTTTTTTCACTTCATCGGTGCAGAAATAGTTTCCAGCTGTAACATCCTATATAGGCCTATATATTGTTTACCGTACACTTGGAGCGCATTTCTTTTTTTTTCCTGAGAGATGCTATTCTATTTTGAAACGATTAAGTAATTAAAAATGGATAAAAAAAAATGTTACGTCTCTTGTTTTAAGATAATTTTTCTTGCCACTATTGCATTAAATCTGTACAAAGATAAGTATTTGCTCTATTTTTCCTTCATTATGTATCTGAACATTAAAAATCCAACATAAAATGTACACTTTTTTATTTTTGTGAACTAGAATTCTGAACAAAATGAAGGACTGTTATGATTTGGAACTGACAGCTCTTTGTGGTAAAATTGGAGGGGAATTCTACAGCACATTAAACTTTGAGAATGAGGAAGGATACTTTTACGAAAAGAATTGTATTGGGAACGAGCTTGCAACAGAACATTGGTACGTTTTGGCACCTACTTAGGTGAAAGGAGAATGCTAGGTGTGCGATTTGTGCTAGCTAGTCAGGTAGATTCGGTAATGTCATAAAATGTGGATCGGCGTGGCCTAGAGACAGAGCGCTAGGCTGCTAACCCGAAAGTCTCGCGTTCGAATCCGAGTTCAAGTCAGTGGAATGTCACTGTGTCCACCCACTGTGTCCACCCACAGTGACGTTCCACTGACTGAATTCTGCCTAGAAGAAACTCGGGCACGAAAGGGAAAATACGATGATGATGATGATGATGTCATAAACTGAGACAGGTGTGTAAGATTAACTATTATGTTTTACAGAAGTGTCCAGAATATCTATTTTCGGTATGTCATTGACCTTTAAAATCATCGCCAATAGCGTAATTGTACTACGAATTAAGATATATTTTCAAAAAATCATTGTAGATATTGAGAATACTATTAGAGATAAAAAGGGACAAAAAGAACATTTATTTTCAATATCCAGCAAGGTAGCTTAATTGGTCTACATATTTTTTTAAGTTAGTGGTTTTGTTACGTTTTACTATTACACAACTTAGTATAACTAATGGTGTTTTGTATTGTTTTCCACTTTTTCCCCCAGACATTTGAGAAAGGCAGGATAAGATACGGATTTCGATGATACTTATATACAATGTATCTGCCAATAAAAGTATAGATACCAATATCAGTTTAGATCTTTTATTTTGAGTATTGTTTTATGTGTCAGAATTATCCGGTGGAAATATTCGTTTTGTGACATTTATTTATTTTTACTTTTGTCTGCCTTAGACATTTAATTTACAGCGTCAGTCTTCTTCTTTCTTAGTTCTTAATTTTTAGTGTTGGAAAGGATCGAGCCTTATCTGCCAGAGGGTTTGAATTTATCAACCATGTGCTTTTGCCGACTCGATCACGCCTCCATCACAATTAAGAATACGTGTGAACTTGAGACCATTCGGGTGTGGCGGTGGTGTACATTTTCGGGGGCAGGGTCGAGAGGACACTTGTAAAATGTTTTATAATCACTGAATGAGCCAGAAAAGGTAGAAAAAGATCCAATGCCGGTTATCGGAAATCGCAGAAAAGTTGATACAAAAATACAAATGTGATATAATGCTTATATATGAATTTGTATGAACCTTGCTGTAACGGTACTTAAACTATCGTGTTCACAGTCAGACAGACAGACAGACAGACAGACACACACACACACACACACACACACACAGTACGGACAAAATTGCAAAACTATGTTTTTTCGACTCAATGAAGTGTGAAACATCGAGATTTGTGAAAATATCGATTTCGATGTTTTTTTCCACGATTACAATTAGACCTCTATACTTCGTATACGAGAAAGTAAAAAAAAATGAACTGCTCAACAAGTGAACGCAAAACAATATGTGTATAATAGTGTGGAATATTATAAGTACTTTATAAATTCACGTGCGTTATTTTGAGAAATCTGAAATAGCATAAATAACTTCTTTCGATCAACGAAAATTACTTAAAATTTGTCAGAAGGCAGATAATTAGTTCTTTACTTACATGTGAAATTTCAGTTATCTATCTGAAACAGTAATGAAGTTATAGGCTTTTGGAAAAATTAAAAGTAGAATAAGTTCCATTTACAGTTACCAGAAATTGCTGAAAAGTTGATACAGAACAACAAATTTGATATAATAATAGTATATTGAATTGTATCAACCTAGCTATAATTTTAACTCAAGTTTTCGTGTTCACAGACACAATTACACACATACATACACAAAAAAAGACATATAGACAAAACTATGTTTTTCCGACTCAGAGAGGTGTAAAACATATACGATTTGTAAAAAAAAGTCACAAACAAATATTTCTAATACACGTAATAAAAGCAACAATAAAATATTTTTAGTGAACGTTATAAAAGCCTCAATTAAATATATTTTATGAAGGTAATACAAGGCACAAACAAATATGTGAAATGAACTTAATAAACGCAACAAACAAATATATTTAAAGAACGTAATAAAAACCACAAACAAATACATTTAGTGAACATAATAAAAGCCAAAACCAAGTATGTTTATCGAACTTAATACTAGCATTAAACAAATGTATTTAATGAACGTAATAAGAATCACAAATAGAATTATTAGACTAGCCGTCCCGACTAGGCTCTGCACTGGCGTTTGAGGTCAAAGTTATTTGTAAAAGGGCCTGGACCTATTTAGACTCGTGCTTATTTAGACTCGTATACTTTGTGAAGCCCGGTGTTTTGGAATTTAAAAAAAAAATCCAATTAAATTATATATATATATATATATATATATATATATATATATATATATATATATATATATATATATATATATAATAGTTTCGCTGTCTGTGTATCTATCTATCTGTCTGACAAAAACGCTCTAGAGAAAACACAAGCAAATTAAAAACATGCATAGTAATTCGAAAAACGAAATATGACGTTACATTTAGCATAGAGTAAAAAATAATCTCAAGCCGGAGAGTGCACACAGTAATATGACGTCATTGATTCTCGAGTAAACATTGAATAAAAAGGAAATTTTGTCTAATCTAAATGGTTTGCGTGAAGAGTTTCTTGCATACAATTCTTCGGCGAAGCCCCATCCCCACGGTTTTGGGGGGGGGGGGGTTGACCACAGCGGGGCTTTGACCACAGGGGGTTTGACCATAGGGGCTTTGATCATAGGGGTTTGACCATAGGGGGTTTGACCATAGGGGGTTTGACCACAGGTGTTTTCTCAACAGAGGATCTTTGATCACAGGTGGTCTATCAATAAGCATGTCATATTGAAACTATTTCGTCATCTTGTCACAAGTTTCAAGATTTAACCCCCTCCCCTCCCACCTTCGTTGACATCCACATAGAAATGTCCATGTCCAATCACAATAGACTGTCCATGTCCCACTACACTGAACTTTCCTTGTCCTATAACATTTAAGTAAACTTTCTAGGGGGTAGGCGTGGTGAGGGTCGCTGAGTGATTAAAAAAAATATTGCAGTAGGATAACAAGCTTTTGAACCACTGATATAATTTTTCTGTTTTTTTTACCAATACTTAATTATGTACCTGTGTCCACTTTTGGTGTTGAAATAACTCTATGTCGCCAATATAACTGTTGCAGTAACAAAGCTTGCTTCCATCACCTCTATCATCTAACAAACTGCTGGTAGTAGGATCCTATTGCGTTGTGACGTCAGATGAATCTTGAGTATCCAGCTCTTTTCTTTGTTTTCTAAACAATAAAGATGATTTTTTTATCCATGTATCCTTCATCTCATACTCTGTACTTCATTCGAGCCTGGTGTGAAACAATATGCCCAATTAAGATATTAATACATAAGCATTTATACAATTCATATTATACATAAATTATACATTTTCCTTATTTTATTGACTAAATATTTTAACACTTGTAGTTTCCTTAGAAGATGTACAGTTTGATCGCTCCTAGTTCATTGATTTGTTCTCAAGCCGTGCTTCTTGCAAATAACAATCTTCATTGGTTGGGGTTGATGTTCGTTTTTTGTTGAAGTCGAGGCTCTTTGACGTGTCGATTCTTAGAGATATGTCATTTGTGTTGTAGAATCCTTAACGGAGTATCGAAGTGAGGTTGTTATTGAGGTGGTTTCCTGGTGATGAAGTAGTGAACAATGTGGTGTTGGCATATCTTAGATGTCTGTTGTATTGTAGTTGGTGCTAGATTTGGTCGTTGATGGTTGAGCATGGATGAGTTGGGAGAGGAGGTATCTTAGTTCTGCGGAATCGAGTTTGGTGATGCCGTATCAAAGAATGATTGATTAGAGTCTTGTAGTGACAGGTTGCGTTTATTCTGTGTTGGTTTTTCAAAGGTGTGGTGGTATCTTAGAGTTTGTAGATTGCTTAGATTAGAGTAATCGTGGGTTGCTTAATCGTGAGTTGAGAATATTGAGTCGCTGAGCTGAAAAGCGACTGGGAGTGTTTTAGAGTAGTTGAGTGAGTTAATCGTATCGAACTGATAGAATCGGCTGCCTGGCATCGAGTTGATGATTTTGGTTTGATTAATCGAGATGATGGTATTGCATCATTAGGTAATGTTTGTGAGAAGTAATAAGTTGAGTAATAGATAGTTTATGATATCGTGTTGTTTGTTGTTAATTGTAGTTGGCCTAGAGGTAGACCGCGCGCAAGCTAGTCCGAATGTAACGAGTTCGGATCATGTGCTCAAGGCCGTGGGTTGTCCCTGTACATGGTACATGTTTGAAGTCAGCTTGTCTAGTTTTGGAAATATTTGCACTTACTGTAGTCTAGGCATCACCCGTCTATGTGCTAAAAGTATAATCTTTATTGATGTCACAAAGTGCATAATGCCCATGAGTTGGCGGTTTCCCAAATAGACGGTATTCACACTAATCTCTGCGAAATCTTATTAAGAACGTGTAAGCTGACACCAAACCAGTGATGATCTAAAGCGGATTAGAAGAACCATAATGTGTTCTCATGTAATCTCAATGCGTTTGGTACCACGTTGAGATTGATCCAGTACAAGATTACCTCTACAATAACACGATTCAACTATTGCCGGTTAATGCTTTGGCTACTAAGCTGAGGTATGGAACAGAATTATTGAAACATGGAATACATAATCCTTGCTGTATATCCAACCCGCATCAAGCAACTTCTTCAATTGTAAAATTAAATTACTTTTATTGTCATAGCATTGCAATACTGCAGTGCCAACATAAATGAATCATTTTTAACCACTAATACATGAGTAAAACTTATAAGTCCATTTCGGATCAGTAAGTTGATATCATGATTGCTTACTACCCGTAAGTACGTATACCCATGTTGAGATGCCCGACTGTGTTAAGCCTCGCTTTGAATAACTGAAAGCTATGCAGTGGCTCCATACATGATTCAGAGGCGTCAATATTTTGTATATAGCTCAGTTTATATCAGTTCGTCGAAACTTTGCCTGAGTTTCGTTTATTTATTTAAAAACAATTGAATATCACAATATCTGCAATTCTGAATTATGTCTGAGAAAATACACACATTTCATTACACTTGTGTACTACATTTGTATAGTACTGCTGACCCGAAAATTCGGATACAGGATCATGCCTGTAGAACGTCCCTGAGTCCATCCAGCTATGAAGGGTATCGAACTCAAGTTAAGGAAATATAAAAAGAAATATAAAAATGCTGACCACATTATCCATTGATATGCCGATGTCACTGAAAAAGATGATTCTACCTCACCTGCCCCATGGAAAGTGTACTTTACTTTTACTAACAGACCATGTACTAAATTTCATCTAAAGACTGTGATGACTTATAAGGATTTAGTAGATAAAAAAACACTTTTATCTCGTCTGTCCTTTGACAACAGGTTTAGCCCATTTAAAACCAAGGCATATCCATTTTTTACAAGTTATTTTTTTCGTATCTTGTTTACGGGTATATTGGAAATGAGTACTTATCTCAATGAAACGAACAACAAAATTTAATTTCTTTTACACTCAAAGTTAATAAGTCACGTCGTCTATTTAATAACAATATAAATTTTTCAAGTGTGTTATTTCTTATAATTATCAAGGGTATTCAGAATATAATATATTTTTAAATTAACTATTTATATCAACTAAACTTGTTACGGATTTTAATATCTTATGAGCTCAAAAACAGGTTGTCGAGTAGTCTACTTTCTTTAAGCATGTGTCCTCTTAGATTCTTAGATACGTGAATTATGTAAAGTAGTTTAGAAACTGAACCTCTCTTTGAGTATGTACATTTTGTAAAGTAGATCCGACGCTGTGTGTCTTTGGCTAAAAAAGCCCCGTTAACATATTTAAACTGCGTATGCCTCGCTTTTGTTCAGTGGAGTGGACAGTGAAGCAAGAACACACACACGAACATACTAGGAGAGCTTACGTTTCTACCTGTTAAAGATGACCAGCGTGATGAAAGTTGTCCTGATCTTTGCCGCGTTTGTCGCCACGGCAGGTGAGTGGTAGAGCGCTAGTCTGCTAACGCGAAAGTCTCGAGCGCGAATCCGGGTTTTAGTTAGTAAAGGCGATGGGCATAGTGCTGACCACACTAGTTGATCATATGCTGTGGTCACAGAAACAAGTGACCTTTATAGGACTGTCAGGTTTGAAAAGAGAACCTTACATTTACTTTTTAAGTGAGTGGTATTTTACCTTATGGCAATTGAGTGGTAGTTGAATTTATTACAGGTGAGCGATAGTTTACCTCGTGATACTTAACAATATGGCAGGTTAATAATATCTTATAGCGAATTAGTGATAATTTTCATAATGATACTCTTTTATACAGTGGATTTGTTATACTTTGTATTATGTCATGTTTGTCAGTGGCGTCGCTAGGTCGATTTTCACCCGATGCGTCACTTTGTGTAGTCACCCCCCCCCCCCAAGAAACAAGCATATATATATATATATGTATATATATATATATATATATATATATATATATATATATATATATATATATATGTATAAACTTTAATCACTGCATAATTAATAACGATGCTTATCTATAGTTTGTTAATAATACAGTTGGATGTAGAATTGTTTTCTCTATAGTTAGCACGTTGTAATAATTGTAGATTTGCAATTACAAGACTTTAACTTTAATTAATCATTAATTGAACTGGCAAAAAGATATTTTCTTCTGTACATTTTGGTGTTTTTTTTTCTTCTCAAAGTTCACTGCGTCTGTTTGCCACAAATCCGATAAATTAGTTGCGACCCTCCTCGAATAAAGCAATTTAAAAAAGTATTGTCAGTCTTAAAAATCTCTTGCAAAGCTAAGTTCCCTGTGCACTTAACTAACGAAACAGTTTATTTTATTAAAATATTTCATTTAAAATCATAAAATTGTAATAGTTTTATATTTATGTTATGATTTAACAATATGATCATTTACAAAGAAATCTAATTCATTATTATAACAGTGAAATATTGGTGGATTGTATCTTGGGAGTGTGTGTGTTGTAATAAGGCGAGATTGCATCAGGGAGACAGTGGCTGTGCGCATGCGCGAAAGGAACAGGAGAAAAAGGAGGCAAGAATGTGGCGTAGCTTGAGTGAACATGCTGCCTGTGTGAAAACAAAATAAGTATGAAAAATTGCAAAAGAAGGCTTGTCTTTTGATTCTGTATATGTAATGTAAAAGGTAGGAGAAAGGCCTGTGACATTTTGGTGTCAGAAGTGGTCGGTGCTCTACACCGTAAAAGAAAGAATTACATCTAGATTTAGTATTGTAACTGAATAACTGTGCTTGCATCATTACGATGGAGTTCGAGCTCTATGCCAAATACATGGAGTTGGCTGACTCTTTTGGATACACTGGGGCAGAAAAGGCCAAATGGGTTGAAGATAAAATAGCAGGAAAAAAATATTGGCTGCAGCTGAAAGGGAAGAAAGAGCTTCCGAGAGGGAAGCAGCTAAAGCTAAACAAGTGGCTGATAATGAAAGAGCTAAAATAGAGGCTGATAAGGAACTAAATCTAGCTAAAATAGCAGCCGAAGATAGAGAAAAACAGAGACAATTAGAAGATAGAGAAAAACAGAGACAACATGAGTTAGAATTAGAAAAAATTAAAAGTAACCAATCTCAAGACAGCAAGGTTCACAAAATGAACAATTGGAAGCCTAAATTCAGAGCATTCAAACCACAGGAAGAAAGTGTGGAAACTTATTTAATACAATTTGAGCAAACATGTAAGAGTTTTAATTATTCACCTGCTGGGAAGGCACAGGCTTTATTGACTAATTTGACAGGAGAGACTATTGCCATAATAGCAAGTATGTCTGAGGCTGAAAAAGAAGACTATGACCTAGTAAAAGAAAGATTGATGAAATATTTTGGAAAGACAGAAGACTATTACAGAAAGACTATAAGAGATGCTAGAATTAACAACACTGGTGACATAAACCAGATCATTTTTGACATTCGCAAATGCATGAACAAAAGGCTAGAATTGGCAGAAATAGATTTAAAGAATCCTGAAGCAATTATTGAACTCAGCCTGATAGATCATGTTTTAAATAATGCAACAGATAGTTTATTCACTTTTTTTGAGTGAAAGAAAAGTTAGGACACAGAAACAATTAATAGAGCACCTTAATATTTATAAGGATGCACATCCAGGGGCTATTTTGGACAAAAGAGAGCAGGGAGAGATTTCGGCAGCAGTCTACAGTAGAAACTCTAGCAGGGATCAAAGAAGGTATGGCAACAGCAAGAGAGATAGAAGCAACAGTGCACCTACCACATGGAAACCAGACAGGTATAAATATAGCAGAAGCATAGAGTGTTACAACTGTGGAAAAAAAGGCCATGTAAAGTCTGAGTGTCTCAGCTCACAAAATAGAGATACATATCTCAGCAATAATTTCAGAGGAGGTTATGCACCTAATAACAACTATAGAAATCAAAGTAATTATTACAGACAAGAACAGTATAATGGACAAAGTAGAAATGAATTCCACAATCAAAGTAGACAGCCAAGAATGGGACCAGACAACAGGGGAGAAAATAGAATTAGTAGAAATAATCATCAAGAGATATCAGCAGGGGTAGAAGGGTCAGAGATGGTGGCATCTGTTAGTCAAAGCAATACAACACTGAAGATGTTCCCAGCTATAGTAAACAATGTCAGAGTAATGTGCCTGAGAGATTCAGGTTGCACATGCATTATTGTTAAGAAAAGTCGTGTATGACCAGAACAATACATTCCTGGCATAATGAAAATGACATATGCAAACAAGAAATTTAAGGATGAGTGTAAGATAGCAGTAGTTGATATAGATTCTGCTTGGCTGAAAGGTAAATATAAAGTGGCAGTCATCGAAGAACCAATAGCAGATATGATCATTGGGAATGTAAAGGAGGTGAAAGAAAGTAATGAGGAAGATATAGATAGATGGGAAAGTCAAATTGGAGCAGCGGTTGAGACAAGAGCACAGAAACAAGCAAATCAGGGAAGTGTAGACAATGAGGAAAGCAACACAGAATTAAGAGAAGATATAAATGAATGGATTAAACTTCAGGAAGAAGACAATACTCTCAAAAATATACTGAAAAACACCAATACAAGTAACATGAATGCCAGGGGATCTAAGTACACTAAAGAAAATAATGTTTTAGTCAGGAAATATATTGATGACAAGAATAATGAAAAGACTCAGATAGTGGTGGCACAAACTATGAGAACAAAGATATTACAACAAGCACATGACAGTCCACTGGGGGCACACATGGCAGAAAAAACTACATTTGAGAGAATAGCTGAAGATTACTACTGGCCTTTAATGAAGGAAGACATAAAGAAACACATACAAAAATGAACCAAATGCATAAGACTCAATCCTATTGATGGGAAACATAATGCACCTATACAACAGACAGATAGAGTTACAAGACCATTCCAAAACATAGCAGTGGACATAGTTGGACCTATGGAACACCCTACTTCCCAGGGCCACAAGTTCATATTAACTATAGTGGATTGGGCAACCAGATGGCCAGAAGCAATACCACTTAGAGAGATTACAGCTGTGGCTATCTGTGATGCTGTGATGAGTGTATGTACAAGATTTGGTTTTCCTGATACAATTTTATCAGACAATGGAACACAGTTTAAGGCAAAATTGACAAAGGCATTCACAAGCTTCTTGAACATTGCACAAGTACATAGTACCATATACCATCCACAAGCAAATGGGATTAATGAGAGATGGAATAAAACACTGAAGACTATGTTAAAAAAGGTAACAGAGGATCACCCAGGTGAATGGCACAAGTATTTACCTCAAGTACTATTCGTATACAGAGAGACTAAACATGAGTCAACAGGTTTTTCTCCTTTTGAACTGATATATGGGGTAAAGCCAAGAGGCCCATTAACTTTATTGAAACACAAATTATTAAATAAACACGAAGAGGAATTTGATCCTCATGAACTAGTAAACCAGACTAGAGAGAGATTAGTTTATGTTGTCCATACAGCCCAAGAGAATGCACAAGTAGCCAGTGAAAGACACAGAAATATAAAAAACAAGCATAGATATTTAAGAACTTTTGAAAGAGGAGATTTAGCTTTTGTCAAACTGCCAGACAGCAAAAAACATAGATGTATTTCAAGGACCTTTTGAAGTAATCAAGAAACTATCTTATGTAAATTATGAAATAAACATAAAGGGAAATAACACTCCTATACACATAGACAGAATGAAGAAATTATATGTAGAGCCAGAGAAACTGATAGAAGAGGAACTTATGGCCTGTACTATAATAAGTGAAAGCTGTAATACACAAGAAATTAAGACTAATCATATCCCAGTGAATGAGAAAAACATAATAGACAAAATAATAAATGAGTACAAAGATGTGATTACAACAGAAATGGGTTTTACTGAAACAATTCAACACAAAATAGAATTAACTGATTATAGTGCTATGAAAGGGAAGCATTACCAAGTACCAGTAGCTTATAGAGAAGCTGTTGAAGCAGAACTGGATTTTCTACTTGAGTCTGGGCAAATAGAAAGAACAGAATCAGCATACTCATTACCCATGGTGATAGTAAGAAAAAAGAACAACAAAGTAAGGATATGTTGTGACTATCGAGAGTTGAATAAAAGGACTAAGATAGATGCTGAACCCATGAATGATCCTAAAGACATTTTGGAAACTATCAGTAAATCCTCAATTTTCACCACTTGTGATTTGAACAGAGGCTTCTGGCAAATAGGACTGGAAAAGGGGTCAAGACAATACACCGCCTTTACATCTAGCAAAGGTCTATGTCAATTGAAGGTGATGCCATTCGGACTTGTGAACAGTACCGCCACGTTCCGAAAATTCATGAATAAAATAACAGAGGGAATGAAAAACCTGGTCTTCTTTGTTGATGATATATGCATACATAATAACACATGGGCAGAACACATAGAAACACTAAAAGAACTACTAGAAAGACTTAGAAAACATGGGGTTACCATAGCACCAGAGAAACTGCATGTGGGAGTAGATACAGTAGAATTCCTAGGATTTAAGGTTGGAAATAAAGAAATTAGACCTACTGAAGGAAATAAGGACAAAATATTAAATATCAAAACCCCTACTACAAAGAAAGAAGTGAAAGCATTGTTGGGACTATGCAATTTTTATAATATGTTGTGGATAAATATGCTGAACTTACTACTCCTTTAAGATTTTACTTTCAAGCTTTAATATATAACATCAGTTATCATGCATATAGAACCTGGTTTAGTGGATGTAACAATATAATATTTAACAACTTTAGTTGTATCACCAACCTCAGCAGTTTAAACAGAATTTATTTCATTGATTGGCTCTACACATTCCTTTTTGGCTAACAAAACCTGTTACTTTTTACGTTGTGTGCATTGGTACTTAAGCATCAGTGATATAGGGACTACTAACATACATTATTTTACATGTTATTGACTTAAGGGGAATTTGTAAGTTAGAAAACCATTTAAAGTAAAGCATGGAGTTTGTTATCATAATGTGTTAACAAATGTTTAGTTTGTTATTGGACCTTGTATTTTGTTAACTGATGTTCATGAACATAACAGTTGTGTATTTTTTGCACTTTATATGGTAATGCTAATGGATTCTATTGTTGTTTAAAGTTGTATTTAATTAACAGAGCTTAACTATGTGTTTGGAATTTTGACTTGGTAAATATTGCTTTCATAAGGAAAATGGATTTGTCTAATAACATTATGTCAAGAAAAGCTAACCTGTAAAGGGACTGCACAATACACTAGCTGAATTTTTTATCAAGACAGATTGAAGATGAAAAAAACAAACATGGAACTGACTAAAGAAAATAATGACCTGAGACATATCAGCCAATCCTTATAAGGAAATTTTGAATAACGTAGTATGTGATGTGTACTTCCAGAGAACATTAACATTTTACAAATGTGAGCAAGATAGGAATAAGTCATAATATGACTCGTATAAATATGTTTTACCATTATTTTAATTTAGAAATGAAAATGAACATACATTTTGTTGTATTTTTATGATTTGTATGTATACTGTATATCTTGTTAAGTAATGAACATGATTATGGCAGTATGACCTGACAGATGTGGTGATTTACATATGTTATGATGAGGAGTTTACCTCAGCCAGTGAAGTAGGGAAATCAAGGATATGATTTACCCATGGGAGCTATTGCATAGCTATGATTTTGTTCTACTAAGAGAGAGTTTTCCTAAGTAGATTTATTTTGAGATACACTAAGAGGTAATATTCCTTAGTGAGTTTTAATGATTTCTTTTTTTGTTACACTAAGAGGAGATGTTCCTTAGTTAGAGTCATGTGTTCTTACTAAACTAAGAAGGTTTACCTAAGTTACAATTTTTCTTAATGGCGATACTTATAAGATAAGTGACGCTTTACATTTTGCCATGTATTTTATGAATATCATTGTTTTAATTTAAAAAGTGTACATATAAAATAATTTAGGATGTTCATTAGCAAGTTTCTTTTTCAACATGATTTTCATTTCACTGTTACATGTATAATGAAGATTTTATAGTGAATGTGATCTATATAACAAAAAAAAAATAATAAATTTTTTTTTTTTAAACGGGAGAAAGGGCGTATAACAGTGAAATATTGGTGGATTGTATCTTGGGAGTGTGTGTGTTGTAATAAGGCGAGATTGCATCAGGAAGACAATGGCTGTGCGCATGCGCGAAAGGAACAGGAGAAAAAGGAGGCAAGAATATGGCGTAGCTTGTGTGAACATGCTGCCTGTGTGAAAACAAAATAAATATGAAAAATTGCAAAAGAAGGCTTGTCTTTTGATTCTGTATATGTAATGTAAAAGGTAGGAGAAAGGCCTGTGACAATTATATTGTGATATTTATAATTATTTTCAAATGTATCTTGATAGCATCTATTTTACAATGAAACACCATAATAACAGTCACATGTTTCTCAAATTAGAAAGCAACGAGGAATGTTCCACACTTAAGGAATGCGTGACTCCTGGCATTAAACAATTCTTGCCTCGTCCATACTACTACATAGACAGTAAAACACTGGAAGCATTTTGTAGGTAAGTATCAATCCTGACTGTTTATATAGATTTGATTATAACTTTAAAATATTATGACGGATGTAATATTATAAGTCAAATAGGCATGTTAGTAGACTAGCGTCTAGAGAAGTTAGAAAACTAGAATTACACAACAAATTTAACAAGAATGTCGAGCATGAAGTAAGCCACAATTTTTACAAATATTTTTGCCCTGGAAATAGTCATGATAATAACCATTAACGTTTAGATATATTTCAACTTTTAATTTTAAAAGTAAATACATATGTGTGAGCGGGTGAATGGATTATTTTGTATTATTTTATTTGTTGCGAATCTGGGAGTGCATGGTGGTCCAATGGGGAAAGGCCACGGGGTCCCCCTTCCGTCCGAAGCGGTCAGTATAAATTGACCGGTCGGACGATTTTCTTCCTTTTTGACCCGCGGCGAGATGTAGGTCGGGTCAGGTTTCTGTGTGGGCGCGTGGCGCACCTCACGCGTGGAGTGAGGTTGCTTGGGCAACTTGGCTGGGTGTTTTGTTAGATATGAATTGTTTTGTTTGATGTAAAAAGTTTGTTGTGTACGTATTGTTTTCTACGTAATGTGTTGTACGTAAGGTATTGTACGTAGTGGTTTTACGTAGTGTTTTGTTTGGTGTGGACTTTTGGATGTCGAGAATGGATGAAGGGAGGTTTCTGTGTGTCAGGGCCTGGACCATCCTAGACATCATAAGTCGGGCGCAACACCATCAAATGGTCAAACGTAATGTTTTGTTTCGTTGAGTTCTGTTTGTTTTGAATGTCTTGAGTGTTTTGTCTAGGTCTAGATTCTAGTTTTTTTATAATAACTTTTGGTTCCATATTTTGTTAAATAAATTTTATATTATTGTCAAAGCTTTTTGTTTTCATTATTTAGACTAAGGTTAGGTTATTAACCAGTCTGGGTTTATCCGGGCTTGCACTGACCGGACAGTAGTTAGTTAGATAAGCCTAGAAGGGTAGATATTAGGTATCCCCCCTAGCAGGGCTTACATATGTATTGAAAAAAATGCTTTTTTATTATATATATAAATCTAAATACATAAATAAAATTAAAAAATAAAATATAAATAGATAGAGAATTAATTTAGTGGAAGAATTTAATGAATGAATTTAATGAATAAATGAATGAATGAACGAATGAAAGAATGAACGAATGAACGAATGCACGAATGAACGAATGAAAGAATGAACGAATGAACGAATGAACGAATGAACGAATGAACGAATGAACGAATGAACGAATGAACGAATGAACGAATGAAAGAATGAACGAATGAACGAATGAACGAATGAACCAATGAACGAATGAACGAATGGACGAATGAACCAATGAACGAATGAACGAATGAAAGAATGAACGAATGAACGAATGAGCGAATATATATATATATATATATATATATATATATATATATATATATATATATATATATATATATATATATATATGTTTATACATATATACATATATAGCCTACTCTATATTTGTGTTTATTTAATTTTAACCACGTGCCCGTTTCACCCACGACGCTACTATTAGTGAATTGAATGACTACATCTATTGTGTAAACAAGATTGCATGGCGCTGTGACGATCATTCCATTGTACATTACCATGAGGAGATAATTACACGGGGAAAGTATGTCTGCACCAATGTGTCGAAAAAAGGTATGGCTATTCTCAATCTGTGGTAGGAGGCTCGGCCCAAGTTAGCCTATTCAAATAGACCCAATTTTGTGATACCAGCGGGTGGTAGACAACAACTAATTGCACAATTTTCTCAGCCTTCTTTAGACAGCGAGCTCACGCTGTAAGCCCGTGTTCATTCTCACTTTGTTATCATTGTATTTGTCAACCTAAAAAACAATCAACAAGGCTGTAGTTGTTTGATTTTTCTTGTTTTCTGTACTAGATACGTTGTTATCCCCAGCTATCGAGCCTCATCTTCCTGGGGGTTCGATCTCGGGAATTTTAAGTATAAGTATAAGAACCATGCAATACACATATACTAAACACTGCACAAACATTAAAACCCACTTATATAAACCCACTTTTAGAGGCATGTAGAACATGGAAAAAAATATATTAAATAACTTGATTTGCGGTTACCTGAAACCTATTCCAATTCTTTTTCCCACGATGTATGTAACATATATGGGCACTCCTTTGTTCCTCTTTCACTATATGTACTTTCGGGTAGAAAAGCAATACATTCTACTACTCACAACGTCACATTACACACATTACATCACATAACAACAAATGGCACAACATCACAACACATGACATCACATCACATCACTTTACATCACACTACACACCACACCACTGTACGCCAGAGCACACCACATCATACTACACCACATCACATCAAACCACTGTACATAACAGCACAGCACATTTTATAGCACACGGCCACACTACATCACACCACACAACATCACACCACGCCACATCACACAACACCACACAACACCACATCACACCACATCACACCACATCACACCACATCACACCACATCACACCACATCACACCACATCACACCACATCACACCACATCACACCACATCACACAACACCACACCACACCACATCACACAACATTACACCACGCCACATCAATTCACACAACACTGTACACCACAGCACACCACATTATATAGCACCACGCCACACTAAATCACACCACACAACAACACTCCACGCCACATCACACCACATCACACCACATCACACCACATCACACCACATCACACCACACCACATCACACCACATTAATCACACGATACCACATAATACAACTCACACCACATCACAACACACTACATCACACAACACCACACTATATCACATAACACGACATCAAACAACATCACAACACATTACAACAAATCACACCACACCACATCACATCACACAACACCTTATCACACTACACCACTCTACATCACAACACGCCAGATCACATTACTTCAGACCACAGTACATCACATCACACTACATCACACAACACCACACTATATCACATAACACGACATCAAACAACATCACAACACATTACAACAAATCACACCACACCATATCACATCACACAACACCTTATCACACTACACCACTCTACATCACAACACGCCAGATCACATTACTTCAGACCACAGTACATCACATCACACTACATCACACAACACCACACTATATCACATAACACGACATCAAACAACATCACAACACATTACAACAAATCACACCACACCACATCACATCACACAACACCTTATCACACTACACCACTCTACATCACAACACGCCAGATCACATTACTTCAGACCACAGTACATCACATCACACCACATCACACTACATGACACCACTTCACACAACATCACACAAGATCATAACACACCGCATCCAATAACATAACATCACATAACATAACATCATCCCACATCACATAACATCAAATAACATCACACCTCTTCACACCACACCACATGAAACCTAATGACACCACACAGCATCACATCGTATCACAAGACACCATCTAACATCAAACCACACCACATAACTCCACATACAACCATAATACACTACATAACACCATTCCAGGTCAAGAACAAGCTAAAACTAAATAAACCCCACCACGTATCCCACACACCCATCTTTCATATACTTACTTTCTGTTCACATTATATCCTTAATAAGCAGTTTTTTGACATGTTAAAATAATTACACTATAATTTATCTTAGTTATCTAAACTTTTTATTGTTTAAACAATTTGTTTTTTACTAATGTTTAAATACCTTTTATTGTGAACAGCTGTTAACGATTTGACTGCTTCACGATGCCTTACTGATACGAAGAAGAAGGAAGAAGTTGAAAAAGCGATAGACTTTTGTTCATGGATCATCTACAGATATCCTTACAATCAAATTGAGGACGTGTGCCAGTAATAAAACTTAATATTATAGTTTAGATGAAACATAATGTGACTTGCTGTTTAAATGTTTAACCTAATGACGAATGCATTAGACGTTGTATGGACAAGAAAAACACATATACAGATAGGAATTATACTTTGTGGGTAACATCAAAAAACAATATATAAACAATTCAAAACAATGTTTTAATAGGTTATAAAATAATCCGTTAAGTAGATTCACTTTATTCTATACGAAAAAAATCTTAAAATATCTTTCATATCATATTCATATTATATTTTTTTACAGAAATATAAAATTATTTAATATTTAAGATATATATTTTTTGGATCAATTGTCCTTAGATCAATAGACCTGATACCATTTGAACTAAAATTATTTGCCGTGAGATAATTAATTTGTAATGAGATCATGTGTCCTGAGATTATTTTTCAAGAGATTATTAGTAAAAAGGATAATTTATAATGCGATCATTGGTCCGTGAGATCATTTGCCTGTCATCATTTGTCTTGGGATGATTTGTCCTGAGATAATTCGTCCTAAGATCGTTTTCCATGAAAATTTGTTAACGGATAATTAGTCGTGAGAAATTGTTTTTTTTTTATTTGGGATCCTTTGTAATGAGTTCTTTTATAAATTTAGCTTCTTCTAATATAGTGTTTCTGAAATATTTATGTATGTTAGATAATCTGTCCTAATAATTTGTCTTGAGACGATTTATTCTGAGATAATTTGTCCTGAGATTATTTATTCTGAGATAATTTGTCCTGAGTTCATTTTTCATATGATCATTTCTCCCGCAATCATCTGCGCTGAGATAATTTGTAATGACATTATTTGTTAAGAGATCGTTTTCCTTGAGATATTTTCAAATGAGATCATTTGTCCTGAGATTATTTGTCTTAGTATCATTTGACATTAGATCATTTAAATTTTTGTCTTGGGATAATTTATCGTGAGATCGATATGTTCGGGTCATTAGTCCTTATATCATTTGTAAGGAGAGTGCTTTTACTGAGAAAATTACCGTGTCTCCATTTCATATCTACAAATAGGCTTGGATCACTTATGCAGAGCTGTTATGAAACCAAGTTGACTGCTTTGTGTGGTAGAGCTGGAGGGGACTTCTACAGCAGTTTAATCTGGGAAGAGTTGGAGGGACGATTTTTCGCCTATGGCTGTAAATTGGAAGAGGAAAAACATAAAGGTCTAGATAAAGATAATTTAACGTTTCAAAAATTTAAAAAAGGTTTATAGAAATTTAAATAAGATTATTGTACATATAAAACTTGTATTATGATTGGAAATTACATTTTCATTTAAATTCTGTATAAATCAATCGATGAGCATTATTATAACAAATGAAAACACTTTTGGATGTGTATCTCGTATCACAACACGCTAATAGTTACACATGTTATTATTTTAGTAAGCTGGAAAAAATGTAATCTACTTTATGAATGCTTGGAGGATGAAATACGCAGCTTACTATATAAATTTTACAACAGCATGGACAATACAAAACTCACAGCCTTTTGTTAGTGAGTTACAATTTCTTACATCGGTTAAATTTAAAAAGAATAAGTTAACGAATGTATTCTCAATTCATGAAATGTTTATAGGCTAATTTGTCAGGATGTTGTCAATCTAGAGTTACAAAAACAAACTCTTAAAAACTATTGTAAACATAAACATAAACATAAACATAAACATAAACATAAACATAAACATAAACATAAACATAAACATAAACATAAACATAAACATAAACATAAACATAAACATAAACATAAACATAAACATAAACATAAACATAAACATAAACATAAACATAAACATAAACATAAACATAAACATAAACATAAACATAAACATAAACATAAACATAAACATAAACATAAACATAAACATAAACATAAACATAAACATAAACATAAACATAAACATAAACATAAACATAAACGTAAACGTAAACGTAAACGTAAACATAAACATAAACGTAAACGTAAACGTAAACGTAAACGTAAACGTAAACGTAAACGTAAACATAAACGTAAACGTAAACGTAAACGTAAACGTAAACGTAAACGTAAACGTAAACGTAAACGTAAACGTAAACGTAAACGTAAACGTAAACGTAAACGTAAACGTAAACGTAAACGTAAACGTAAACGTAAACGTAAACGTAAACGTAAACGTAAACGTAAACGTAAACGTAAACGTAAACGTAAACGTAAACGTAAACGTAAACGTAAACGTAAACGTAAACGTAAACGTAAACGTAAACGTAAACGTAAACGTAAACGTAAACGTAAACGTAAACGTAAACGTAAACGTAAACGTAAACGTAAACGTAAACGTAAACGTAAACGTAAACGTAAACGTAAACGTAAACGTAAACGTAAACGTAAACGTAAACGTAAACGTAAACGTAAACGTAAACGTAAACGTAAACGTAAACGTAAACGTAAACGTAAACGTAAACGTAAACGTAAACGTAAGCGTAAGCGTAAACGTAAGCGTAAGCGTAAGCGTAAACGTAAACGTAAACGTAAGCGTAAGCGTAAACGTAAATGTAAGCGTAAACGTAAACGTAAACGTAAACGCAAACGCATACGTAAACGTAAACGTAAACGTAAACGTAAACGTAAACGTAAACGTAAACGTAAACGTAAACGTAAACGTAAACGTAAACGTAAACGTAAACGTAAACGTAAACGTAAACGTTAACGTAAACCTTAACGTAAACCTTAACGTTAACGTAAACGTAAACGTAAACGTACACGTAAGCGTAAACGTAAGCGTAAACGTAAACGTAAACGTAAACGTAAACGTAAACGCAAACGTAAACGCAAACGTAAACGCAAACGTAAACGCAAACGTAAACGCAAACGTAAACGCAAACGTAAACGCAAACGTAAACGCAAACGTAAACGCAAACGTAAACGCAAACGCAAACGTAAACGTAAACGTAAACGTAAACGTAAACGTAAACGTAAACGTAAACGTAAACGTAAACGTAAACGTAAACGTAAACGTAAACGTAAACGTAAACGTAACCGTAAACGTAAACGTAAACGTAAACGTAAACGTAAACGTAAACGTAAACGTAAACGTAAACGTAAACGTAAACGTAAACGTAAACGTAAACGTAAACGTAAACGTAAACGTAAACGTAAACGTAAACGTAAACGTAAACGTACACGTACACGTACACGTACACGTACACGTACACGTACACGTACACGTACACGTACACGTACACGTACACGTACACGTACACGTACACGTACACGTACACGTACACGTACACGTACACGTCGACGTCAACGTCAACGTCAACTTAAACGTAAATGAAAACGTAAACGAAAACGTAAACGTAAACGTAAACGTTAACGTTAACGTTAACGTTAACGTTAACGTTAACGTTAACGTTAACGTTAACGTTAACGTAAACGGAAATGTTTATGTATATATATATATATATATATATATATATATATATATATATATATATATATATATATATATATATATATATATATATATATATATATTTATATACATATATATATATATATTTATATATATATATATATTTATTTATATATATATATATATATATATATATATATATATATATATATATATATATATATATATATATATATATATATATATATATATATATATATAGGTCTATTTATACTAACTTTTCAAACTATTCCACATGACCAAAGTGAATTTAATACATATACCAATTGTTTGGCAAAACACAAAGACTGTGACAATACCATGATTGTAGATTTCTATGAGAAGGATGTTACAGCTGGACACTATTTGTGCACCGATGAAGTGAAAAAAGGTATGGTTATTCATAATCAATGCAGCGTTTTTTTGTTAACTAGTAGAATAAGATCATGGTGGCACTGTTCAAATTGACCCAACTCTGTGATACGTACTCATTTAGAATACCTTTTGAAAACCCTCTTAAAAGCAGCTTTCCGTGAAATAAACATAATAGCGTTATCTCCCCTACGTGTCAAACGTTTAAAAACGTTATTATCTGCCCCTTTACTAGATCGACCGACTCTACAATTTTTAACATTCGGTATGGATCAAAGCTCACCAGACTATTCGGATGATAACGTCAAACTCGTTAGCTCTTTTTCTTTTATTGAATATATTAATGATCGAGTGATTCAACATCTTTATTTCTTATTAGATTCAAAACAGTAATTTTTATTAACTAATAATTTTTAAAAAAATAGACATTTATTTCCATTAGGTTGGGTTGTTTCTGAAAAGTTTGAACGAAATCGCCGCCTTAAATTTGGGAAAAAAATTGAGTTACAAGATTTGCTACAAATACACAAACAAACAAGCGAACAATTAGACAAGCGTTGTGAATTAAATAAAAGCTTGTAAAGCTTGTAACAAAAATGACTTTTTAATGGTCTGTACTACATTTCATCCTTATTGCCTGATATTTTATCAATAGATTTTTAAAATCTAAAATCTTGAACCCATGTTTTATATGAACAGCTGTTGAAGCTCTGACAGCTTCACAGTGCCTCATTGATGAGAACAAGAAGAAGAAGGTTGAAAATGCGGTTATTGTTTGTTATAACACCTATACAACTGATGAAGCAAATGACAATGCAGAAATGTGCAGGTAAAAAAATTGAACACTTCTACCGTAATCCTATTGATATTTTGGTTGAGATAAACTGTTTGTTACCTACTGGGAAAACAATAATGTATGCAAATTTTAATTTAAGTTTATTGGGAAATAAAAAACAAATTATAATATTTTGATTGTAATAATAAGACTTTATGAATAACAGCAATAAATTATAATTAAAGTTACTGCATTATTTTAATGAAAATGTTAAAGTTTTCTTTAGGTAGTAAGTTTCTATAGGAGTAAATGTATTCGGTTGCATATTCTTTGGACATTTTGTAATTTAGAAGCATATAATAGGTGCATATATATATATATATATATATATATATATATATATATATATATATATATATATATATATATATATATATATATATATATATATATATATATATATGCATTGATTATGAATAACCATACCTTTTTTCACTTCATCGGTGGAGAAATGTTTTCCAGCTGTAACATCCTATATAGGCCTATATATTGTTTGCCGTCCACTTGAAGCGCATTTCTTTTTTTTCCTGAGAGATGCTATTCTATTTTGAAACGATTAAGTAATTAAAAATGGATAAAAAATCATGTCTATATCTCGAGTTGCCATTCCCTGTAGTGTAATATAATAAAATAAGTTTTAGTAGAGATCACTCCCGCTTTTTAAGACATCAAAATGTTACGTCTCTTGTATTAAGATAATTTTTCTTGCCACTATATTGCATTAAATCTGTACAAAGATAAGTATTTGCTCTATTTTTCCTTCATTATGTATCTGAACATAAAAAATCCAACATAAAATGTACACTTTTTTATTTTTGTGAACTAGAATTCTGAACAAAATGAAGGACTGTTATGATTTGGAACTGACAGCTCTTTGTGGTAAAATTGGAGGGGAATTCTACAGCACATTAAACTTTGAGAATGAGGAAGGATACTTTTACCACAAGAATTGTATTAGGAACGAGCTTGCAACAGAACATTGGTACGTTTTGGCACCTACTTAGGTGAAAGGAGAATGCTAGGTGTGCGATTTGTGCTAGCTAGTCAGGTAGATTCGGTAGTGTCATAAAATGTGGGACGGCGTGGCCTAGAGACAGAGCGCTAGGCTGCTAACCCGAAAGTCTCGCGTTCGAATCCGAGTTCAAGTCAGTGGAACGTCACTGTGTCCACCCACAGTGACGTTCCACTGACTGAATTCTGCCTAGAAGAAACTCGGGCACGAAAGGGAAAATACGATGATGATGATGATGATGTCATAAACTGAGACAGGTGTAGGAATCTACACCACGGTGTGTAAGATTAACGATTATGTTTTACAGAAGTGTCCAGAATATCTATTTTCGGTATGTCATTGACCTTTAAAATCATCGCCAATAGCGTAATTGTACTACGAATTAAGATATATTTTCAAAAAATCATTGTAGATATAGAGAATACTATTAGAGATAAAAAGGGACAAAAAGAACATTTATTTTCAATATCCAGCAAGGTAGCTTAATTAGTCTACATATTTTTTTAAGTTAGTGGTTTTGTTACGTTTTACTATTACACAACTTAGTATAACTAATGGTGTTTTGTATTGTTTTTCACTTTTTCCCCCAGAAATTTGAGAAAGGCAGGATAAAATACGGATTTCGATGATACTTATATACAATGTATCTGCCAATAAAAGTATAGATACCAATATCAGTTTAGATCTTTTATTTTGAGTATTGTTTTATGTGTCAGAATTATCCGGTGGAAATATTCGTTTTGTGACATTTATTTATTTTTACTTTTGTCTGCCTTTAGACATTTAATTAACAGCGTCAGTCTTCTTCTTCTTTCTTCTTAGTTCTTAATTTTTAGTGTTTGAAGGGATCGAGCCTTATCTGCCAGAGGGTTTGAATTTATCAACCATGTGCTTTTGCCGACTCGATCACGCCTCCATCACAATTAAGAATACGTGTGAACTTGAGACCATTCGGGTGTGGCGGTGGTGTACATTTTCGGGGGCAGGGTCGAGAGGACACTTGTAAAATGTTTTATAATCACTGAATGAGCCAGAAAAGGTAGAAAAAGATCCAATGCCGGTTATCGGAAATCGCAGAAAAGTTGATACAAAAATACAAATGTGATATAATGCTTATATATGAATTTGTATGAACCTAGCTGTAACGGTACTTAAACTATCGTGTTCACAGTCAGACAGACAGACAGACAGACACACAGACACACACACACACACACACACACAGTACGGACAAAAATTGCAAAACTATGTTTTTTCGACTCAATGAAGTGTGAAACATCGAGATTTGTGAAAATATCGATTTCGATGTTTTTTTCCACGATTACAATTAGACCTCTATACTTCGTATACGAGAAAGTAAAAAAAAAAATTAACTGCTCAACAAGTGAACGCCAAACAATATGTGTATAATAGTGTGGAATATTATAAGTACTTTATAAATTCACGTGCGTTATTTTGAGAAATCTGAAATAGCATAAATAACTTCTTTCGATCAACGAAAATTACTTAAAATTTGTCAGAAGGCAGATAATTAGTTCTTTACTTACATGTGAAATTTCAGTTATCTATCTGAAACAGTAATGAAGTTATAGGCTTTTGGAAAAATTAAAAGTAGAATAAGTTCCATTTACAGTTACCAGAAATTGCTGAAAAGTTGATACAGAACAACAAATTTGATATAATAATAGTATATTGAATTGTATCAACCTAGCTATAATTTTAACTCAAGTTTTCGTGTTCACAGACACAATTACACACATACATACACAAAAAAGACATATGTTTTTCCGACTCAGAGAGGTGTAAAACATATACGATTTGTAAAAAAAAGTCACAAACAAATATTTCTAATACACGTAATAAAAGCAACAATAAAATATTTTTAGTGAACGTTATAAAAGCCTCAATTAAATATATTTTATGAAGGTAATACAAGGCACAAACAAATATGTGAAATGAACTTAATAAACGCAACAAACAAATATATTTAAAGAACGTAATAAAAACCACAAACAAATACATTTAGTGAACATAATAAAAGCCAAAACCAAGTATGTTTATCGAACTTAATACTAGCATTAAACAAATGTATTTAATGAACGTAATAAGAATCACAAATAGAATTATTAGACTAGCCGTCCCGACTAAGCTCTGCACTGGCGTTTGAGGTCAAAGTTATTTGTAAAAGGGCCTGGACCTATTTAGACTCGTGCTTATTTAGACTCGTATACTTTGTGAAGCCCGGTGTTTTGGAATTTAAAAAAAAAATCCAATTAAATTATATATATATATATATATATATATATATACATATATATATATATATATATATATATATATATATATATATATATATATATATATATATATATATATATATATATATATATATATATAATAGTTTCGCTGTCTGTGTATCTATCTATCTGTCTGACAAAAACGCTCTAGAGAAATCACAAGCAAATTAAAAACATGCATAGTAATTCGAAAAACGAAATATGACGTTACATTTAGCATAGAGTAAAAAATAATCTCAAGCCGGAGAGTGCACACAGTAATATGACGTCATTGATTCTCGAGTAAACATTGAATAAAAAGGAAATTTTGTCTAATCTAAATGGTTTGCGTGAAGAGTTTCTTGCATACAATTCTTCGGCGAAGCCCCATCCCCACGGTTTTTGGGGGGGTTTTGACCACAGCGGGGCTTTGACCACAGGGGGTTTGACCATAGGGGCTTTGATCATAGGGGTTTGACCATAGGGGGTTTGACCATAGGGGGTTTGACCACAGGTGTTTTCTCAGCAGAGGATCTTTGATCACAGGTGGTCTATCAATAAGCATGTCATATTGAAACTATTTCGTCATCTTGTCACAAGTTTCAAGATTTAACCCCCTCCCCTTCCACCTTCGTTGACATCCACATCGAAATGTCCATGTCCAATCACAATAGACTGTCCATGTCCCACTACACTGGACTTTCCTTGTCCTATACCCTACTGGCTTAGTTTTTACAATAACATTTAAGTAAACTTTCTAGGGGGTAGGCGTGGTGAGGGTCGCTGAGTGATTAAAAAAATATTGCAGTAGGATAACAAGCTTTTGAACCACTGATATAATTTTTCTGTTTTTTTACCAATACTTAATTATGTACCTGTGTCCACTTTTGGTGTTGAAATAACTCTATGTAGCCAATATAACTGTTGCAGTAACAACGCTTGCTTCCATCACCTCTATCTTCTAACAAACTGCTGGTAGTAGGATCCTATTGCGTTGTGACGTCAGATGAATCTTGAGTATCCAGCTCTTTTCTTTGTTTTTCTATACAATAAAGATGATTTTTTTATCAATATATTTACCACAAAATCCCAATAGATTTTTTTTATATACCATTTTGAATATATATTTCTCTATACTGTAAAGATCAATGTTCTTCTACACTAAACAAGTATTTTTTTCCTATTCCATTTCGGTTCTTTTATTTGGGGGAGGAGGGGGGGGGGGGAGGTGCATCCATGTATCCTTCATCTCATACTCTGTTCTTCATTCGAGCCAGGTGTGAAACAATATGCCCAGCTTGACATATTAATACATAAGCATTTATACATATCATATTATACATAAATAATACATTTTCCTTATTTTATTGACTAAATATTTTAACACTTGTAGTTTCCTTAGAAGATGTACAGTTTGATCGCTCCTAGTTCATTGATTAGTTCTCAAGCCGTGCTTCTTGCAAATAACAATCTTCATTGGTTGGGGTTGATGTTCGTTTTTTGTTGTAGTCGAGGCTCTTTGAAGTGTCGATTCTTAGAGATATGTCATTTGTGTTGTAGAATCATTAACAGAGTATCGAAGTGAGGTTGTTAATGAGGTGGTTTCCTGGTGATGAAGTAGTGAACAATGTGGTGTTGGCATATCGTAGAAGTCTGTTGTCTTGTAGTTGGTGCTAGATTTGGTCGTTGATGGTAGAGCATGGATGAGTTGGAGAGGAGGTATCTTAGTTCTGGGGAATCGAGTTTGGTGATGCCGTATCAAAGAATGATTGATTAGAGTCTTGTAGTGACAGGTTGCGTTTATTCTGTGTTGGTTTTTCAAAGGTGTGGTGGTATCTTAGAGTTTGTAGATTGCTTAGATTAGAGTAATCGTGGATTGCTTAATCGTGAGTTGAGAATATTGAGTCGCTGAGCTGAAAAGCGACTGGGAGTGTTTTAGAGTAGTTTAGTGAGTTAATCGTATCGAACTGATAGAATCGGCTGCATGGCATCGAGTTGATAATTTTGGTTTGATGAATCGAGATGATGGTATTGCATCATTAGGTAATGTTTGTGAGAAGTAATAAGTTGAGTAATAGATAGTTTATGATATCGTGTTGTTTGTTGTTAATTGTAGTTGGCCTAGAGGTAGACCGCGCGCAAGCTAGTCCGAATGTAACGAGTTCGGATCATGTGCTCAAGGCCGTGGGTTGTCCCTGTACATGGTACATGTTTGAAGTCGCTTGTCTAGTTTTGGAAATATTTGCACTTACTGTAGTCTAGACATCACCCGTCTATGTGCTAAAAGTATAATCTCTATTGATGTCACAAAGTGCATAATGCCCATGAGTTGGCAGTTTCCCAAATAGACGGTATTCACACTAATCTCTGCGAAATCTTATTAAGAACGTGTAAGCTGACACCAAACCAGTGATGATCTAAAGTGGATTAGAAGAACCATAATGTGTTCTCATGTAATCGCAATGCATTTGGTACCACGTTGAGATTGATCCAGTACAAGATTACCTCAACAATAACACGATTCAACTATTGCCGGTTAATGCTTTGGCTACTAAGCTGAGGTATGGAACAGAATTATTGAAACATGGAATACTTAATCCTTTCTGTATATCCAACCCGCATCAAGCAACTTATTCAATTGTAAAATTAAATTACTTTTATTGTCATAGCATTGCAATACTGCAGTGCCAACATAAATGAATCATTTTTAACCACTAATACATGAGTAAAACTTATAAGTCCATTTCGGATCAGTAAATTGATATCATGATTGCTTACTACCCGTAAGTACGTATACCCATGTTGAGATGCCCGACTGTGTTAAGCCTCGCTTTGAATAACTGAAAGCTATGCAGTGGCTTCATACATGATTCAGAGGCGTCAATATTTTGTATAAAGCTTAGTTTATATCAGTTCGTCGAAACTTTGCCTGAGTTTCGTTTATTTATTTTAAAACAATTGAATAGCACAATATCTGCAATTCTGAATTATGTCTGAGAAAATACACACATTTCATTACACTTGTGTACTACATTTGCATAGTACTGCTGACCCGAAAATTCGGATACAGGATCATGCCTGTAGAACGTCCCTGAGTCCATCCAGCTATGAAGGGTATCGAACTCAAGTTAAGGAAATATAAAAAGAAATTAAAAAAATGCTGACCACATTATCCAATGATATTCTGATGCCACTGAAAAAGATGATTCTACCTCACCTGCCCCATGGAAAGTGTACTTTACTTTTACTAACAGACCATGTACTAAATTTCATCTAAAGACTGTGATGACTTATAAGGATTTAGTAGATAAATAAAAACTTTTATCTCGTCTGTCCTTTGACAACAGGTTTAGCCCATTTAAAACCAAGGCATATCCATTTTTTACAAGTTATT